AAGAGCGGTGTACACCGCATGGTGGTGAAGCAGATATGGAGAGTTTTTGGCCAGGCCCAGGTGGACCTGTTTGCTACTCGGATGACATCGCACTGTCCCCTCTGGTTCTCTCTGAGTCATCCAGCTCCACTGGGGCTGTACGCCTTTCCCCCGATCACTCTGCTCCCGGGAGTTCTGGAGAGAGTGCGCCGGGATGGGGTCCGTCTTCTGCTAGTAGCCCCGTTCTGGCCGGGCCGAGTATGGTCTCGGACCTGATTTCTCTCCTCGACGGCGCTCCATGGGAGATTCCCGTCAGGAGAGATCTCCTCTCACAGGCGGAGGGTATGATCATCCACCCCCGCCCGGAGCTGTGGAAGTTGTGGGTGTGGCCCCTGAGGGGGCACAACTCATAGCTTCCGGTCTCTCAACCGAGGTTGTTGAGACCATCCTCCAATCCAGAGCTCCCTCAACGAGGAAACTGTACGCCTCGAAGTGGAAACTTTTCACTTCTTGGTGTGGAGACCGCCAGCTCAACCCAGTTAACTGCCCAGGTGGTACAGAAGTGCCGTCAGAATGAGAGTCCAAACAGCTGATAAAAACATCACAATAATCCACAAGTAATCCACACCACTCCAGTCCATCAGTTAACATGGAAATAAATCCACCATTTAAGGCTGTTTTGACTTTAAACTGTCACTTTTGACCAAAATATGAGTCCATAATTCATAATAACGCTTCCTCTGGTGAAAAAGTCCATCTCCTGTTGTCCTCTCACATCAAAATCCACCCACATATTTGTTTAGAACGGTTTAGGACTGTTTTTGTATGTAAATGGTGCTTGATTTGTGTATGTGTTTCAACTGATTCGGAGTAGTTTACTTTTTCATTGGAGAAAGCTATATTATGGATAGAGAAATCTATCCATATTTTTTAAGTTAAATATGTCTTAATGATGGATTTGTATCTTACAAACATGCAGCTTTTCACTTCACAAGACATTAATTGATGGACTGGAGTGGTGTGGATTACTGTGATGTTTTATCAGCTGTTTGGACTCTCATTCTGACGGCACCCATTCACTGCAGAGGATCCAGTGGTGAGCAAGTGATGGAATGCTACTGTACATTTCTCCAATTCTGTTCTGATGAACCATCAGACTCATCCACATCCTGGATGGCCTGAGGGTGAGTCCATTTTCAGCACAATTTCAAGTTTGGATGAACTATTCCTTTAAAAATGATCACCCACTTCAAGTCTGACCACTTTCAATGTGCTGACTCAAACTCGCACAATTAGCATAAAACCAAATAGAAATGACTTGTTTTGCAGTAACCAATTAATTTATCCAATATGTGCCCACTTAAATTGATTTTCTGAGTTTGTTTTGAAGCAGTTTCATTGGTGAAGTAGAGCAAAAATAGACAATATTGCGTCTAAAATGTAATTTAATATTAACACCTTGTTTATTAAATTGCTGTATAAAATCACATCTGCAGTCGTTTTAATATTCTGGAAAAACAGCACTCTTGCTCATGTGACATTACTTGACTATATATCTACAGTATATGACTATATCATTCGTTAAACAAGTACTAATACAGAGGCCTTCTTTCCCATATAGTGAATTTTGGGGGCATTTTTATTAGTTTTGGTGGTTATTTTGCTAATTAAATGGATGGAAAAAAAATATATAAGAAGTGCAAAACTCACCGCAGTGATGCTAGAATGATTACCAGGATGCTGATTTATGGTTGAGTGGTTTCTAGCACATTAATATATGGTTGCTAGAGTGTTGTTAGGTGGTTGCTTACAGGTCCAAGTCAATAATCACTTGCAAGGTAAAATATAATAGGTTTGGAGCTTGAATTATAGTAATAATGATGCTTGCCTTAGTAAACACAACTAATAACGATGCAACCATTTGTTTACAGTTTTTAGTATCTGTTTGTGTGACAATGCATTAGAGCCTTGTTTATTAAAAAGCCATTTTAAAGTTAACATTAAAGTTAACACAGGTGCTGTTTTCTTACCTCGTGTTTTGTGTTGCGTGAGATCAAAAATATTTAATGTCAAACGTGTGAAAACAAAATCGTGCCCTATGATTTATACATCAGCCCTGTGGTTTCACGCATTTTAAACATATACGTGCTTTTCACACCACAAGCATTGTGAGCCAACTAAAAACACAGGCTATTAATAAGATTACAGCACTGATATTTACATTTATTTTTCAAGAAAGCAAAAACTTATATGAAATCTATGTTTTAAATAAATGAGAACTGGTCATCAAGTGGTTGATCATTTTTGTCACTTTTTGTCTTCACTAGATCATTTTAAATTGCCCTGTAATGGTCCTAGATAGTCCACGTATGCCTTAAATTAATATGAAAAATGCATTTATAATAATAATAATAAAAGAATGAGCAAAATCCAATTTAAAATTGTATTAGAATATAATATGTAAGCATGTCAAAATCCACTTACATATGCCACCACTGTCCACAAAAACGTCAATGCAAGTTATTCTTTGACAGTTCAGGATGTTAGTATTTGACACTGTTACGTCTCTGCACCACATGCCATTAGTATCAGTGTGTATGTGTGTGTTTAGGTGCAAAGACACACGTACTCACCATGCCGCCAGTACACTCACGGCAGTCTTGCAGACACGCAATGTTCTCCCACGTGCTGTAGGCTTTGAGTCCTGCGACGAGAGCTTGCAGAGCGCGATTGCTTTGAAGGTCCTGACCCTGACACAAAGCATCATCCACCAAACCTGCAGCATATCTGAGAGCAAACACGGGAGCATACAAACAATGCACATACAATACAAACACATCAAACCCTAACCTAATATATTATTGCTTTGAATAAATATATATGATCCTGGTGGTGCTAGAGACATGCTGCAGTGTTTGAGCTACAGGAATGTTGCAAAAATAAATGTATAAATAAAATATTAAATATTAAAAATAAAATAAAAATCTATATATTAAATATTAAAAATAAAATCTTTATGATGAATGTACAAAAGGGAATATTTATGTGTCAGTAATTAAATCTCTCTCTCAGACTTTCACTGTACAAATGTTTGACCATCAAACTAACTTTCTAAACTATCTCTTTTATTTCCAATAAAGCGCAGATGTGTTAGATAAATAATGATGAAACCTGCAGTGGTTTCTCAGAAGGGCGCATCTGAGCTCCTCTCTTCCTTTGATTCTCCTCCTGTGGTATTTCTCAGAATGTGCCAGTGACCTGAATTGCACAAACACAGAGACCTCCAGTGGAGGCCAGTAAAACTGCTCTTTGTGCTGCCACTTTTATGTCATTAAAGGACACAGATGTTGGAAAAGAGGATTTTCTTGGTAGTTTTGATATAGTTTGATGTTCTGTGTAGACACCCCGACCATTTATAGAAAAATAAGCAAATATGGTTTCTCGCCCAAAGCTATTGTATGTCTTACTACTTTTAAGATTTTATAAGATTATGTGATATTTTAATAGGCTTATTTCACCATTAAAAAGTATTTTTGTCATTTAAAATACAATGGACCCTTTTCACATTTGTGGGATTCTCAGAAGAGCAAGTCACCATAGGTGATAAACTTCTATAGTAGTGACAGCAGAGTAGACCGCAAATAAAATTTCATATTCCCATTTGCTCCAAAAGCAAAAGAAAAAATCCATGATAGAGCTTCCATGACAAAATAGGGGAAAAATCTAGAGAGACTGATACAGAAATCATTGTTTTGTAAATTGTTTTGCAATTTACTGCCAAGGTAATTTAACACAAAAGTATGTCATTATAAATGTAAATAAATAATTTTTTTATATATATAAATATAAATATAAATATATATATTTTTTTTTAAATATGAAAAACTTCACTAGATTTACATGGTGAGGACTGGAATTGCTTCATCATTATCCGTGAAAATTGTATTTTTGCAACACAAGGTTTCCAGAAAATAGCAGAACAATGTATAGTAACTTTCAATTGAGTCAAAAGTGTCTTTTTAATTTCAAATTTTATTTGAATTTTGCAGTATTCCTGTAGAAACACTACAGCATGCTGCTAGCATCACCAAGGTCACAGGTTCGATTCCCAGGGAATGCATGAACTGGATGCTTGAATGCAATGTAAGTCACTTTGAAAAAAAGCATCTGCCAAATGCATAAATGTAAACTTTATTTTGTTTTGCTACTCAGCAAAAGTGACTGTAGCATAAGCAGTTTTTAACATTTTTAACACACCTTCACTGCCAACATTTTGGCTTTTTAAATTGAAATTAAATACCTTGTGTCTTTTACATTTACATTTAATCATTTAGCAGACGCTTTTATCCAAAGCGACTTGCAAATTAGAACAATAGAAGCAATCAGACCAACGAGAGAACAACAGTATACAAGTGCCATGACAAGTCTCAGTTAGTCTAGCACAGTACACGTAGCTAGGTTTTTTTTTATTTTATTAAATAGAATGGAATAGAACAGAACAGAATAGAATAGGTAAGTGCAAGTATTAGTTGGTCAGGTGCTGGCGAAAAAGATGTGTCTTTAGATGTTTTTTGAAAATGGCTAAGCGAAGGTATGACTGAAGAAGAAATGGTCTGAAGGAGGTGAGTGGGGATAGGATCAAGTGGACAAGTAGTAGGATGATTGGAAAGGATAAGTTTGGAAACGTCCGTCTCCGAAAGTGGAGAGGAGGAGAAGAGAGTGTGTATTTGTCGTTATGAAGTTATCATCAGTTTTTGGTGTGGGGAATTGGTCACTGATGGTTCTTGTTTTATTTGTGAAGAAAATTGCAAAGTCATCAGCTGTAAGAGTTGACGAAGGAGGAGGGGGAGGAGGACAGAGAAAAGAAGAGAAAGTTTTGTGAAAAGTGTGCGAGGGTCAGAGCAGTTGTTAATTTTGTTGTGGTAGTATGTCGTTTTAGCAGTGGAGACATTTGCAGAGAAGGAAGAGAGGAGTGACTGATACACACTAAGGTCGGTAGAGTTTTTTGATTTGCGCCATTTCCTCTCAGCAGCCCTGAGTTTAGAGCGATGTTCACGGAGAACATCGGACAGCCAGGGGGCAGAGGGGGTAGTGCGTGCTGGTCTGGATGAAAGTGGGCAAAAGTTGTTTAAGCAAGATGTTAGAGTGGAGCAAAGAGTGTCAGTAGCACTGTTTGTGTCCAGTGCTGAAAACTGAGAGGGTGAAGGAAGTGAGGATGAAACCATAGTAGAGGATAGGCGAGAGGGAGAGAGTGAGCGTAGGTTACGTCGAAAGGTGACCTGTGGAGGAGTGTGTGCTGTGTCAGGAGTTAGTGTGAGGTTAAAATTGATGAGGAAGTGGTCTGATGTGTGCAGTGGAGTAACTAAAGTGTTGTCAGTGGAGCAATAGCGTGTGTAGATGAGGTCCAGTTGGTTACCTGATTTGTGAGTAGCCATAGTAGACACTCGCTTGAGATCAAATGAGGCGAGCAGAGTGTTGAAGTCAGCAGCCTGGGGTTTTTCTAGGTGGATGTTGAAGTCACCGAGCAGTACCAGAGGAGTACCATCCTCAGGAAAGTTTGAAAGTAACACATCCAACTCCTCCAAGAAGTTGCCCAGTTGACCTGGGGGACGATAAATGACTACAAAGTAAATTTTAACAGGGTGGGTAATAGTAATTGCATGTGATTCAAATGAACTGTTGCCTGTAAGAGATGGTAGAAGATCATATTTCCACTCATTTGAGATAAGGAGACCAGTACCTCCACCCCTCCCAATCGTGGGAGGGGTGTGGGGAAAAGTGAAATTAGTGGAGAGGGCTGTAGGAGTGGCAGTGTTCTCAGGTTTGATCCAAGTCTCAGTTAGGGCCATGAGGTTGAGACCGGAATGAGTAGCAATAGAATAAATAAATTCTGCTTTGTTAACAGCAGACTGGCAGTTCCAGAGACCAATTGGAATAGAGAGTAAAGTAGTAGAGTACAGAGGGACAGGCCATAGATTATTAGGATTGGCCTGCCTCCAACGTACAGTGTGTGATTTCCGAGTGTTAGTAGTAATGGTAGAGATTTGAAAGCACATAGTGAGTACAATTGTCCTAAACAAGTAGATGAGAACAAGCTGTACAAAAAGTAAAGAAAGGGCAGGAAAGCAATACTCAAGTGCCTTGTCGGTGTCCTTGCTTGGTGGAGTCGCACAGGTAGAGTCGATCGGAAACCAAGGAAACGCTTTAAGCGCCACCTGCTGGCAGAGAGTGAATCTGTTTCTCATTCAGCTCGCCCGCTGTTTCATGCAGATATTTTTATGTAGTTTCACAAGTCAAACCATTCTGTTTTTGCTTCAAATTTCGAAATTATACAATCTAATTTAGATTAAAAACTGATCACGTTGCATGTATGCAGCATCTTTGTTTGGATCATGATTAAAATGCAGTGGTTGCCTCTAATTTTAAATGGAAAGAGCACAGACAAAGCCTTAGTTTGTTTATATGAAGAGATTTATTTATTTGTGTTACTTATTTATTTGATTTGGGGCTTGTTTTAAAATTTCAATTTAGTTTTGTTATTTACATTTACATTATATTTAAATTTAAATGTTGTCATTTAGCAAATGCTTTTATCCAAAGCGACTTACAAATGAGGACAATAGAAGCAATCAAAACCAACAAAAGAGCAATAATATGCAAGTGCTATATTAGTATATTATTATAGTTATATTTCAATTTCACAAAGAAATGTGCAGCATTTTGTCCAAGCAATAACAAAAGGACACATTTAATTTATAATTTGTCTTAAATCTCATTTTGTAAAAAAAAAAAAAAAAAAAAACGAGAATCGAATTGTGAAATCAAATTCGTGAATCGAATTGTGAGTTGAGTGAATCGTTACATCCCAAGTCGATGGTCTTTACACCCCTCGGTCTTCACACGAGGGCTGCCGCGGTGAACTAACCAATTTTATACTTGCCTAGTATACGTTTATCATATGCAATGTGCTTTGAACAAAATCATCTGCTAAATTAAGGCAAGACACCCCAGGAATACTAATAGTAGTTATCACCATACTTCTAATAACTTACTAATAACTAATAAACCTCACCATACTTCCCCAGTTGATTGATTACATTAAGAACTGCAAATAAAGAATGACAAGTTTTCTGAGATATTATGTTTAAATACAAAAATGAGGCATAATCTAATTAAACATGCATTAATTTGCATACAATTCCAGAATAGAAATCTGAATACTGGATAAAACAGATTCAAAATGGTTGTTTCATTCTGTTGGCATATTAGAGTCAAAGCTTTTTACAGAGGGAATTTTTGATTTTTCCTTAATTTATGACATAATTCAGAAAATACTGTCAACATCCAGAAAATGTAATAAAAAAAATTCACCATGATTTTAGGAATGAAATGTCGGATAAAATCAGGTAAATTATTTATGAACAAACCCCTATGTAAAAACCTTCAGAATATAGATAAAACAGAATAAAACAGAATAAAAATGTAAGTTTTTATGTACTGTATGTAAGTACTGCTGAAGTGGAAAAAAAAACTTGAGAAACTGGCCATTGTTGTATAATTGAAATTTACAAATGCAAACAGATAAAGTGCAATGAAATGAACACTTCAACATGTATTTTGGATGTTTTCTTTCCACTAGCCTAAAACAACACATTATGACAACCCAAATAGCCTAAAATCTCAAAACTGACCAGTGCATGAAAAACAATGTTTTTGCCTGTATTGTCTTGTCTTTACATATAAAAAGATCACACTCAAAGGGATGTGGCCGTGGACAGGAAGTATGTACCTGGTGGTGAAGGTGAGAGCAAGGGCAGCAGCCAGGTGTGGCATCAGTCTCAGATACTGCGTTTGGTGCTCGATGATCTTCACCTCATCCTGGTCCTTCGGGCCAATAAGAACATGTGCGTTTCATTTAGATGTTTAAATGCATTCAAAATTCCACTGCACACTCAGAAACCTCTGTTATTGTCACATAATCACATACAAACCAAAGCAGACACACAAAGGGGGTCACAGCAAAGAGTCAGATGTCCCACAACACACCTGGATGTCGACGCACAGAGAAATAAACCGGTAAGCTTCCAGGTAACCCACTTTTCTAACCGCAGTGCATGCATTAGTGTGTGGAGGAAGGCTTGCTGTGGTGGACGTCTGGTCTTGTGTCAGTATGTGTTTGTGTCTTTCTGCTGTGCTGAAGTCGAGCTTTGTACACCTGTGACTCTTGAACTACCACAAACTGTATCTCTACATCTAGCATCTGCAGGTGGCTTCCCCACAGCGTGTGTGTGTGTGTGTGTGTGTGTGTGTGTGTGTGCATATGTGTGGTTTTAAAGGTGAGAAGCCCACACAGAAATCCTATTGTAACATGCCTCATCTAAACTTGAGTGTCTTCTCTTGTACAGGCCGCTTCAAATTAAACAGACGCTTTATGTGCTAGTCAAATGCCATGTAGAAGCACATTCGGTTACTGATGTTATTGTAGAAGCACCCTATTTATAGACATACGGTATTTGTTGAGTCAAGTCACATTTATTTATATAGCAGATTCACAGTAAGAGCCAAGAAAAGAACTGTTAATGTAGCAAATTTCTTTAATTCTGCTATGAAGAAACTTTAAAAAGGACAATCGTGTCACTATTCAGTTGAATTTAGTTCAGTGTTGATTCAATTTAGTTCATCATATTATTAATTACTGGACAATAAGCAGCTGTACAGAAGACAATATTGTTGTTATTTAGCTCAATGTTGATTCAATTCAGCTCAATAAGTGTCGATGTTGCAGAGTTTGTCACCTATTAGTATTTATTCTGCAACCTAATATCCAAAAGTAAACTGAAACTGAAATAAAAAATAATAATTAAAGTTATATAAAATATTTCAATCTCCCCAAAAATGAATACAAATATCTACAATGTCTAAAAATAAAATAAAAATTAATAAAAATAAATAATTTTATTAAATAATAATATATATAAAACTATCTATATCTATATATATATATATATATATATATATATGAAAATTTATAAAAATGACTAAATTAAAGCTATATATAATAATTTTAAAAAACTAATAAAAATGACGAAAGCACATAACAAAATTAATAATATCTAAAATATCAAAATATTAATAAATACTACAACAATAATATAGAAGCAACACTTCTGTTAGTTAACATGAACAAACAGATGCACAGCTTCGGTGACGTCAGTAGGGTTGTTATTGAGATAAAGTGAGTTATATACAGCTGGTCATGTGATCTCAACACGACAGCCTTTGTGAGAAAAGCCTTTGTCTGAGAGTACATTTGGCATGTGTAACGTCATCTTTCTCAATTTATTTCTCTAGAAGTAAACCTCTTTTTCGTCGGAACACAGATCTACGAACTATTCTGAACTACAATATTCTATAGTGGAACATATAGAAGACGACGGAAGACATAGTGGAACCACATGATGCAAGCGCACACCTACATTTCCTGAAGACTGATGAGTGTCGTCTGTCATCTGAACAACTGTCCTTCATAACACTAAACAGATGACAGCGCTGTCTCTCGTGATTTAGTTTGAAAAGTGAAATGCTACACTGTTAATTTCAACATAATATGGCATTCACAGCTCATTTATCTCCTATATACTTCCTACTTGACATCCTGTTTAAGAATCTTTCAAATATATTATTTTTTATTAAAATTTAGATTATATTAATAATTTCTGGCATTAAATCACCATTGACTTTTGGTAAGATTTTAGAAGGACTGCATTAACTAAATTCTACTTGGCTGTTGGACAGTACAGTCATTGTTAACTACAACTAAAACTATTATTAATCATTTTCAATAATCGAAATGAAGCTAAAACAAATTAAAATATAAATATTAGATGAAAAACTTTACCTTAAAAAATGTACCTTGCAACTGAAATGAAAAAGTTTAAGCTGAAGTACAAAACTGACTAAAACTAAAAAAAATAAATTAAATAAAAAATAAATTAAAGCCTTTATAAAAATATAAAAAACATAACATGACAAAAACTAAAACTGAAATATAAATAAATCAAATCTTTATAAAAATATTTAAAAGTACTAAAACTTAAATAAAATCTATTAAAGCTATAAAAAAAACAATAAAAACTAATAAAAATGACTAAACTTACTAAAACTATATATATATATATATATATATATATTAATAATAATAAAAATGACAATACAATTACATACCAAAATTTCTAAAATCTTAAAATGTAAACTGAAATTATAAAAATAAAAGCTAACAAAATATTTTTAAAAAATACTATAATAGTATATAAATTCATACAGTGCTATGTATGAACAAATACAAATGGCTGCATGACCTCAGTGATGTCAGTCAAAAATAAGTCATTTTACAGACGGCATGGTAATGTGATCATCAGAAACTGCAAAGACATTTTCTTTGTAATGACGTGCACCAATGAATATTTCACCATCAACACGTCTATTTCATGTTGACTTCAAGAGGTTGCTTTTAAAGAAGTGTCCGGCTTGCGTATCAATCTCAGAAGTTGTCTGTTTCTCAAGTCTTATCCTTACACCTAACCTTCCCACCATTAAAACTAACCAGTGGACGACCGAACAACCTGCTACTTGTTGAGAGCAAATATACGAGCCACATGCGCGCACCATGACCACCGACTGTTTGATGGCACGTTGCTGTTTTGAATCCTAAAGCCTCTCGTTCAGAAAGTCTGAAGTGCAATGATTTTGTGGTGCGTGGCGTAATAAGAAGAGGTGTGGTGGGCTGAGAGCGTGGAGCCTGATAACTGCGAGTGTGGTTTTTCTCTCACACCTGAGCGCTCATACGTGTTTTGGCACTAGAGTGGTGGCTCTTTGTTCCTCCTCTGATATGTGTGTGTGTGTGTGTGTGTGTGTGTGGGTGGGTGCGCGGAGCTGTTTTGCAAATGGAAAACCTGCAACTATAGAAAGCAAACATTTCCTCTCTTTCTGTATTTTTTTTCAGCCTGGGGATGCCATGTTCAGAGACACCCAGCATCGCCCACGCAGACGCACATGCGCGCAAAGCCACATGTGAGGAAGACATGCAGCAGCAGCGGAGGCGCGGACGAGAGTATCCCTCTGAACTGGATGTGCTCTGCGGTGAGGAGAAACTCCACACGTCACAGCGCTCTCATTTTGTTTTCACTCACTTCTAGAACTTGTTGTTTATTTTTCTCTCCCCTGCCACCACATAAATCGCTTTTGAAACTCGTCGATGCAGTTTTGATGCGTTTGAAGGAGCGCGACCGTATAATACTGATAACTAATTACAGGGAATTCTTTTGATCTGTTACCAACGATGCATCATATCTGAATTTCACATGAACTTGCATGACATTCACACAAAGACTTTTTAACATCTTACCTGTGACTGTAGCGTACTGCAATGACGAGCCCCAGCTGTAGAGAAGACACAATGTGTGAAGGTGATTTTTACAAAAACAAGTTAACAAGACTGGACATAATTAATAAAGATGCAGTTCACCCTAAAATGATCATTTACTCATCTTCAAGTTGTTAAAAACTTCTATGACTTATTTTCATCTGTGAATTACAAAATGAGATATTTAGCAGAATGACAAAGCAGCTCTTATAACTATATTATCGCCCAGCTCTTTATATAAAGTTGGATATATAAGTACTATACGTTCAACTTTATCCGCATACATACAATGCAGTTGCATAGTGCAATATACACTATATAGCAAATCTCAGCTGCTTGATTGCTTGTATTGTCACAAAATGTAAACTATATTATCGCCCAGCTCTAATCTGCTAAATGCAACTATGAGGCATGACGATATTAAAATACTGTAAATATTAATATCAGGATTTTCTGTAAAGCTGCTTTAAACTATGTGTATTGTGAAAATATAAATACATTTTGACTTGATTTGAAGTGACTCCAGTCCCCTTTCCACTTTCACTGTATGGAAAAAAAAGCTGCACAAGATAGAAAGTCAGAACCATTATGTGAGAGAATACATTATTATTTTCATTTTTAACTGAACTATCCTTTCATTTCAGCATACATTTAATGACATAACTATGTTTGAACTCATTTCTTATACATGAGAATACTAATATAAATATATATATATATATATATATCCTAAACTCAAAATTATAAATGATGTTACAACTAACTGAAATAAAAGTTAAATTGAAATATAATAATAAAACAAATGACAAAGGCACATAATAAAATCACCAAAACTTAAAGTAAAATTTAAATGAATACTGAAAATATAAAAGTAAAAGATAATTAAAATGTTACTATAATAGTATATAAATAATACTAAAATAACACAATATTATGCTTGAGAAATAATTGCTAAAATAACAATATTAAGCTTGAGAAATAACTGCTTGTCTCCCTCTTGTGGTGAAGCTGAAGCATCACTGATTTTACTGGGTCACACAGAGATCCAAGTTTGTGATGGTGCATGATAATCATGTTTCCAGAGTAATAACACTGATTACTGTTGTGTTAAATGTGAGTGGAGGTGGGCAGAAACCTTCATGGCAGCCATGGCTTGTACGGTGAGACCCAGGCGGGTGGGCGTCAGAGCGGCAAGCATTGCATTGAAGCGACTGCTTTTACTGAGGACGGGAGATGAGTACAAACCATCAGCTGATACAGAACCAAACCTGCAACACACAAATACAATGAGCTGGGAGACACATGCATTCCCTCCCACATTACATTCACATTTAGTCATTTAGCAGACGCTTTTATCCAAAGCGACTTACAAATGAAGACAATGGAAGCAATCAAAATAAAAAAATAGCAATGATATGCAAGTGCTATAACAAGTCTCAGTTAGTTTAACACAGTACACGTAGCAAGTTTTTTTTTAAATCATATAATAAATAAAAAGAAAACAGATAGAATAGAAAAAGAATAGAGCAAGCTAGTGTTAGAGGCCTTTTTTGCTTTTGTTAATTGTATAATAAATAAAAAGAAAACAAATAGATAGAATACAGAAAGTGAAGCTAGTGTTAGTTTTTTTATTAATTTTATTATTTTATTAATTAATTTTTACATTAATTTAGAGCTATTATATACATGAAACATGCACACATAAAGAGTTCTGGCATGAAACTCTAGATGGCGCAGTCCGATAGGTCTAACTCAATCTGAACTAATGACATCATTATCACATGGCACAAGCTGACTGGTTCTCTCCTGTATCTGTAGCCAATGAGCTCGCTGCTCAACATTCAAATATATGACTAGTGCTTGCAGTAGCAGTTGCAGCTTGCTTCAGAAACCCTCCACCTTCCCCAGCTCCACCTGCATAGATCTGCTACGAGCAGTGTTAATTTCGTGGACGAATGTCAACAACAAACAACATTTTTTTCACTGACGACAACGAGACGATAACGAACTAAAACTCTTTTTGAATGACAAAAATTATGACGAATATTTATTGACATTTTCGTCAACGAATAAAAACAAGACGAAAATGTTAGGGAGGGACGATTTGGGAAGAGATTCATTCAGAACGAATCTGCTGCGTGGTTCGGAGGTTAGATGCGCACATATGAACCGGCGGGACATAAACTAACATACACTTGCTGCACGTCGCATAAAACATTCAAAAATGTCAATATGTGGGAGTAAGAGAAGAGCAGACATATGGATAAATCTGATGACGCAAGAGAGAGCTCAATTCGGTCCGGTTTTCTGAGCGCAGACTCTGAAGCATACACACACAGAAAGCGCGTCTCACAGCACGCGAGTACTCTTTCGCGTCGCATGAACGGTGAATTACACACAAAATGATGTCGAATTGTCCGTTTTGACGAGTATTCACGTAAACACAGTTGATTACGTCTTAAGTGAACATAAACACCAGAGAGAACGTGTATCAGTACATTACATCCATTGCAGCTGTGCATTCGGTTTTAAAGGGACAGCAGCCTAATTTAGTTGCTATTGTCCGAGTCATTGATGTTAATCAAGCAACAACAGAAAGACAGAAAATCACGCACTGCTCTTGACTAAAAAACTAAAGATTAGCCCTAAAGATTAATCTAAATGTATTTATAGAAATAAATATGTCTGCTTGAAAGAATGAAGAATATGGTAAAGAAGTTGCTATAAAGAATGCATAATTAGCCTATATAACCATTGGTATTTCATTAAAAAGAAGACCATGTTCTTGTTCTTTGTGAGAAGTGGTTTTATTTCATTTTAACATAAAGGCATGTTGTGTGTCACTGCAGTTAAATCGGTGTCTATCATGATAAAACCTTAATATCAAAACTATATAATGAGTTTGGAAATTTTTGAGAAATGCTT